AAAGACAAACTGCAGTGAACATTTAGTGGCTCAATGAGGAACAGCAACAGGGCCTCAAAGAAAACACGCTGAAGGTGAGTATTCCACATGTGAATGTAACACTAACATCTGCATGATGCTAATGAGTAAGATTACACTATCAACTCGCACATGGATATTACAGAATTAACATGTTATTAGTATCAACGAAGTGTGTTCAAACCAGAAGGGTTGTTTTAATTAAACCCTAACAAAAATACACGGATTTGTTCAACACATGTGAAGAAACTAAAATATACACTATTATACCTTGCATTTTGCTGTACTATAGAAGGCTTTGGGGAAGAAGAATAATTTCAAATACTGAACAGGTAAGTTGTTCAAACTTCCTGGCATGTTTTCTTAACAATGGAAAATGTAAGGTATAATAAGGTGTTCCTGCGGATGCTGCAAGCAAGGGCAAATAAAAGCTGGAAGTGGGTGGGAATAGCAGCCCACCTACACACCAGCCTTTAATTCACTGCTCCAAGAAAGCTGGCATTTAGACCTCAAATGCCATGTACCCACAGAAAGTAGGTGGCAATCAAAAGACTACTGCAGCTTGAGTCTTAATGATTCACTTTAATTAGAATGTAGACATCCAAGCATTTTGAGGCAGGAAAGGAAAACATGTAGAAATTTTACCAGAACTGAAGGAAGTCTTGATAAGATACCCCAATCAACAGATGCAAACAGAAGTTTCTAGTCAATGATCTACTAGCAGAAATAAACTGTCAATACCTTTTAAAAAATATTTTGTTCATGTTTAGTTCAATTATAGCTTACATAAAAGTTTGTATTTTTCTATTATCCTTTCTCACTCAGACTCCCATAATGTGAAAAACACAACTCAGCTATTAAGACCTTACTTCAATTTGGAAAACATATCAAAATTATTGTTGAATTGTATTTTAAAAGTCTAATCATAAAGAAGCAAGAGAATCCTGATCGAGAAGTTTTCCCTTGAGGCAAGTTGGATGGATAATGAATTCTGTACTGGAACAATCCCAGTAGTTACAGACTATTATGTACTAATTACTACCTTTACAGATCTACTGTACACATAATTAATTTCTTCAGAGCACTACTATCATTCTTGACTGGCAAAATACACAACCTAAATTACAAGAGCCAGAAATTAACATGATCCTTTAGGGAGAAGGCATTAACTTGCTTTGCAGTGTTCTGCAATTAGACTATCAATCAAACAGTGAGAAGTGATTTTGATTGCAGCAGGCCCCATACATTAAGTATTGTCACATCTCTGCAAAGTTATCTCAGGCCCCAAGCATATGATGTGTCACAAGTTGTCTACAGAGTCATAACATTTCAGTCCTTTAGTTTTACCTTAGCAAACACTTTACCACACAATTCTACTTGTATTTAATATTCCAAAAATTAAACAGCAACATAGGGAGCTTTTTGACATCTTATTCCACAAAGCATCGCAGACATGACACTGCTGCTGCTGTTCTTATCCCTCACAGTGGTGACCAGAGATAAAATTTTAAGTCAATTAAGGGACAAAAGGAAAGTCTGATAAAAGGATGCTTCAGCTGCACAACATAACATGACCTGCTTAAATTATTTTAAAGACTTGCTTTAAATAGGTTCTTGCCAAGAACAATGATGTTTTCAACAGTTAATTTTAGTTGATGGGGTTTTTAAGTTATTCTACAGAACTGCAAGCATACACACCCCAACTCTACCAGAAAGCAGTAGCCCAAGCTTCCTGAGATGTATAACCACATAGGATTAAGATACTAAGTATAAATTCTTGTTCAACTTCGTTAGAATATTTCTCTCCAAAAGTACCATTTCCCTACAGCTCTGGCTGCATTCCTTGAACACAGGCAGCACTCAAACAGCAAGACAGCTCACAGTGTAGAGATAACCAACATTAAGTTATTTCTGGAGTATCTTAAAACAATACTATTTACATGAGAAAAAACCACAAAGTTTTGTTCTCATTGTGCCAAAGAATCATTAATAGAAGCCAGAGTTTTAATCAAATTTCAGTGCTGCAATGTACCTGGAATTACCAATTTTTAATAAGTGTGTCTGCTATTCCTTTTAGTTCAGTGACTATTCCCACTGGTATTCCAAAATGCCATGAAATACAAGAGAGTAAACACTAAGTCATCACAATTGCTTTTGGCAATTGTCAGTTTTCTTCCACTCATTCATTTATTTGTTTTACATGCTGACTGTGCTCTTGAGAATATAAAATGCATTTCTAGTTGTCTTTCTATCCTTCTCCTGTAATGTATTAGGAGAGCACACCAAAAAATAGGATTAAGCAGAAGAGAAATTTGATCCTGGATCATGCTTGAAATAGGTATCTGGGGGATTACTGAGCTGCCTGTGACTCTTAAGGCAAAAGGTGAAGAAGAACAGTGAACAGTATCCCATATTTCCCTTTGCAGACAGCAGTTGCAGGAAAAAAGTTGCTTCTGGAATGCAATTTTTTGGGCCTGCACTGCAACTGAACACTCTCGAGATTCTTTTTGACTTCTAGCAGGTTTTCAAGTTTCAAGAAAAACTTGAACTCAAAGACAGACAACACTGTCTGTCTCTATGAGTCAGCCCAGTAAGATTTTCATATCGTGGGTAACATGCAGTAACATTTTTAATTTGCAGCTTTTGTTATGGCATCTTATTCTCTACAACCATTAACTGAGAACAACACAAGGAAGAACGGGAAAAATATCTGTAAGGCTATCACTACAGTAAGCTATTTAGAGAATTTCTGTTGTTCCTGGTTTCAGAACTGTGCAACTATGTCAACAAGAATTTCTTCTCACAAGAAAATGACAACTATGTCAAAATTTCAAGAAGGTTTTTTCAGTATTTTTAACAAAGAAGCTTTTCAGGAATTCAGAAACATTGCTTCCAATTTCTGACGAAAAAATTCAGCTCCAGGCAGAAGTTTGTAATTTTCCTTAAGAAGGGGCTCATGCCATTGTGAGTGACATCTGCTGCCAGGCATTGTTTCTCTTAAAGGTCTTCCTGACATACTAAAACCAGTGACCAACTCCACATCATTTTAACTGCAGCGCTATAAATCAAGAATTGATCAAACTCTGATATGGAAGAAAGTGTTAAATTACTGCAGATGATGCTTTTGTATTACTGCATGAAATATCTGAACATTTACACCAGAAAGTGGCCTAAAGTGCATTGTAGAAGCAGAATGCTAATGGCTCAAATTCAGTGACTACTGAAAAGAATATGAGCCACAAGTGGAGGGACTGTGTATCTGTGTTATCAAAAACACAGCTATGATCAACTCTTTGGAGGGATTTTAACAGAACATGAAATAAGACACAGTCAGAAATAACTCAAGGAAGCTACTCAAAAAAAAACCCAAACAAACAAACCAACAACAACAGCAGGAACACCCCCCCCCAAACAGAGCAGCATATTCAAAACTGTGTGTTTGCTTATTTGGCCTATGACCACTTGATACATCTGATTCCATTCACCTTTAAGAACTACACAACCCCAAAGTATCATAACTGGTTGATGAATGCACAAGAGATTTGTTGCTAAATCAGGAATTCATTCTTTCACTATTCACCACTTCTTGGACTCTAATTTGTTGGACTTGCCCATGAGTTCCTGAGTAAGTTATTACTGAATTATATATACATACATATTTTATATATATATATATATATATACATATATATATATAAAATATATACCAAATTACTTCAGCAGTGCTTTCTTGTTTTCTTTGCCTGAAGCAAATTACTGGTAAATGGTCACATATGAAATACTGATCAATTGACCATCAACCACAGATAGTAATGAAAAGACTTTTTGAAAAAACTATGTGCAGTCTCAGACATCTGAAAGACCATTTGAGGAGCTGAGAATGGTATTAAAGTATCAAAATCATAACCAATATTCAGTTGTTAGTAAATGCACTCCCAACTCAAAATAAAAGTATTAGCATTGTATTTCCTATGGAAGGAATCAAGTGCTTGAGAAATTAATTTGGTTTTTATATGAAACCAGTAGCAGAAGAGGTATTTGCATGACATTCTAATCAGCCTCAGTTACACCTAACAAAGCTCCAGCATAGTTTTTATTCTCATTGTGGTGTTCTCTGCAGTATTCAAACAGACCTGTTTCACACTGTTCCAACAAAAAAATCCATATATTATCTGATGCTTTTCCATGGTATTATGCAAACACTTTAAAAGGTGTGTACTCACACATTCAACTCTTTGAAAACTAACTTACATCATTCACTAATGACAGCAGCAATGCAATTTGACTACAGAGAACTTGGGGTTGGGGGAAATGCTTCCTAGACTACACAATAGAAATTTAAACACTAACTAACAGAGTATATTTAAAAACTTTTTCCTTAAACGACAGCTACATATAATATTAAAAAAAAAGTGAAAGCAAATACTAAGGACATAAACACAGTAAGTTTGAAAAGCATGATAGTTTCAACCACATATTCCAGAATCATGACAAGCAGGTACAGCATAGCTGTGATTTTGTGATTCAACTGCATGTTGCAATTGCTACATCTCAAGGCTTACTTGTACTTGTAGAGGATTCTGATTTAGCAGAATCATACAAACAAGTAAATTTCTGTTACACAACAAACCCTCCCCATCTGGAATATCTGCAAGAACCCTGCAACTTACAGTTCCTGCAGCTAGGAATATTAATGCAAATAAAGCATGATTTTAGGATCAGAATTTGCATCTGTCTGCAATATACCCTGTGCTTTTAAGAAATATTATTGCAAAAAGATTCCTTTCCTCATGTTGCAATGTGAGGGAGGAGCAATTCTTGTAACAGACTCTTATGCTTAATAAAAACAAAGGTTTTACATCATCTCCCTGCTATAAAACCATCGTAAGAATTCCATGGTATTGCACAAAGTATAAAAGAGATTGTCATTGCACGGTTTTAAACATAATAGAAGCATAATAAAAAGTAAAATAAGACTGTACCTTTCATTTGGGTTCCAAAGGTAAGCGCCAATTTCGCAAACAGCTCCGGGTTTTCGAATTTGTCTTCTTCAGCTTTTACCCAAAAGCTGTTTTCTCCTATCTCTTGAGGTTCAATCTGAAAGGAAATGGCATCTCCAAAGTCAATAACTAGTTTTTTCAACACCAAGTTAAAACAAATGCCACTGAACTTTTGTGATTATTGGACTGAATGAAGTTTATCCACATTTCGAGTATGTTCTCATAATGATGCTTCCTGCACAAACACAATGGCATGAACCACCCTCTAACCACAAATGGGTTTTATTGTGTTTCTCCCATTTGCAAAGTTCTCCAAGCAGGCCTGATAACATATTAGCATCTGGGTTTGCAAGTCTTCCAGCTTTCTCTGGATTACTTCATAGAGAGTTGCCAAATTCTTCACCATTGCTATGCACCCCTGCCACTTGAGAACTGTAGGAGGAGCTCTTTCTTACACTGTCAGAGTATGGAATAGTTTATCTGTAAATGGACTGTCAATGTGGACCCTTCAGTGACTCAGTATTTAGTCTGTACTGGCTATATTAAAAAAAGAAAGTGCTCTGAAATATAGAAGCTGAAAGACAACTATACTCTTCATGTATGACTCAGAACTGCTATTTTGCTTTCAAAATATGTTCCTCTAACAGCTTTTAACGTATTATCAATTCTTGTTTACAAGTTTGTTTAAATGCCAAGTAATTTCAAAGGGCTATTTAATTTCAAGATGACATGCAAGAAATTCAGCAATACTGTATTTGTCAGTCTCACTTCATTTTCACTGCAACACACTGGTCCTCCACCTTTTACCGCTGCTTTACCACCAGCTCCAGGTAAGATAATTTAAAAAAAACTACCTTAATCCAACACTAATGGGGAAGACAGTTACAGCAAAAGAGACTGAATTAAAGACTAAGAATTTTATTCCTCAAATGGTGGCTCCTTAAAAGTGATGAACAAATAGACTTTCCACTTTCTCAGCAGGCAGGAGATCTTTGGCACTGTTCCCAGAGCTCTTAAGCAAAGCGTCCATCTGCAGTTACTTCCCATTGTCATATCCAGTGTTCAGATGTACACTTTGTCAATTATTTCTATAAACTCACAAATCTAAATGACTACAATGAAATTGGCTGCAATTACCAATATGTCTTATAAACTAAAGAGCTTATTTTTCTATGTGTTTACTGGACAGCACTCTGAGTGTGCTTCACAGTTACAAAGCTCCTGCAATTATCTCTCAAAATCAGATATTACTTAGCAAGAACAACTGAGTTTAGTAAACATAAGTTATTTATGTCTGGCAGAAATTCTTTCCTGCTTAAGTGAGATGCCTAAATAAATGTATCTAATCTAAACCAACCCTCTTTTAGCTGAAACTCCTTAGCCCATGTACCCATAGCAACAGGCCCTGCTAAACAATTTGTCCTTAGTTTTCTTACAGGCTCCTTCAAGTATTGAAAGGCTACAATAAGGTCTCTCCAGATAATGCAATGAGGCTACCCAAAACAGGCCATTTTTTCTTCTAAAAAAATGTGATTAAGTTTAACCACATTATGATACTGGAAGCTCATGGTGCCCAAACCTTTCCCTTGAGCAGTCCCATGGCTCCTCCCTGTGGTCACAGCCCTACTCCAGCATATCACTGATTGAGAACAGCCAATAAGCATCTCAGACAAATAACCTAAAAGTACCATTACAGGCCTGACACCAGCATTCTCTGACCTTACAACTACACTAAACATCATGAACTTAGAACGTTTCTGCTTGAAATAGCATGCTGCTAGGTATGTGTGAGAACTGCTTTAAAACATTTTGGAGATAGACAGATAGATAGATGGATAGATAGAAATAGAGAGAGAGAAAGAGAGAGAGTGATACACAACAATGCAAAACTGCAATTCATGTTCACTGCACCTGATATAACATATTGGAACTGCACTGGCTTCCTGGGATACTTGGTCAAACACCAAGTTTGTCAATATGAATCTCACTGAAAAAATTCCTCGTAATATACAGTCTTAACTATTTCTGTAAAGTAAGGAGGGGGAGGAACATAAGCTTCACAGTTCTTGTCGTACCTTTGACCAGTTGATTCTCTTCATGGAAACTTCCAGCTGATACTTCTTCTTCTCCTTCATCCCATGTGGTAACGCTGGTGCGACCGGAAAAGGAGCAAAGGGAACACCTCCAAGAGGTGGGGGCATCGGAGGCCCACCAAAAGGCGGTGGAGGAGGAGGAGGGACTCCTCCACCAGGGAGCGGAGGTGGCGGAGGTGGTCCTGCTCCACCAGGCAGAGGAGGAGGTGGTGGTACTGCTCCACCAGGTAGAGGAGGAGGTGGAGGTACTGCTCCACCAGGCAGAGGAGGAGGTGGAGGTATTGCTCCACCGGGCAAAGGAGGAGGTGGAGGAATTACTGTTCCACCAGGTAGAGGAGGAGGAGGAGGAATTGCTGCTCCCCCAGGAAGTGGAGGAGGAGGAGGAATTGCTGCTCCCCCAGGCAGTGGAGGAGGAGGAGGAATTGCTGCTCCCCCAGGCAGAGGAGGAGGAGGAGGAATTACTACTCCCCCAGGAAGTGGAGGAGGAGGAGGAATTACTGCTCCCCCAGGCAGCGGAGGAGGAGGTGGGATTGCTCCACCAGGTAGTGGAGGCGCTGGAGGTGGTGCTGCATTCTCACTTGGCAGGGTGGGAGGTAATGTTGGTCCTTCTGTCAGTTGACCTGTCAGGACTGGACCCTGGAATACAAAAGAGGAATTCTTTTCATGGGGGACAGGAGGCGCTTTCATATGAAGCTGAACCAGCTAGGGTGCCTTTTAGTCACCCGCACCTCAAGAGAGTGAGAAATGCAACTGTTCTCCTATTTAAATGAGAAATAATAACAATACATTGTACCATGTACCATAAAACTGCCAAGTAAACTGAATAACCTAGCATTTTTATAAAAACAAATTGTTTCAATTTTAAAGAAAATTTAATAGTAGCAGTAACATTTAAGTGAACAGAACAACATTTTATTTCTTACCAATGCACAAAACATTTATCCCACTTAGAATACCCTGGCAAGCTGGGGTATCAGAGATGAGAACAACCATGCTGAATTTTAACAGCACTAATGTGGTGGTGGAGAATTTTCCACAGCAATCACTGGAGCAGCTATTGCAGTGCAAGAGGTTACAAGGACATAGTTGTTCATAACTATCCTGACATCCTGTGGGACTGGAGGACGTGCAACAACCCATCCTGATTGCTTTTAAATCTGCCTGCAGATGTTTCTTTGGTAATAGAAAGAAAGAGCAATTGCAATATCAATTCTAATAAGTTGCAAAAGCAACAAGGAAGAGAAACAGCAGCATGTTAAACCATCTAAAACAAGTGCCATCACATATTGTATGGGAAGCATAACACTAGAGAAGAGAAAGGCATAGATACTAGAAATTTTAATTATACTATTACTGTGAGTGAGCTGTAACATCTAGATAATCTGAACTTGGTTAGAATCAATAAAACAGGATTAATAATTAATTAGACTAAAAAAAACATTTTGACTTTGTGTGAAGCATGTATTTCTTTGGCCCACAAACTAATATACAAGCTATAGTGCAACAATTGGTGGAGAACTCATTAAAACAGATGTCCAATTTTAGTGTAACATTATCTTGTAGAAATTTCTAACAAACATGAGATTTGGTAAGAATGAAGTGATAACAGGAGTGTCTGTCTCCACCTTACAATCCAAATAGGAAGTGAGTTCATAAGCATTAAAAAGACAACAGGCAGACCTTATCTAGCATTGAAGGAACAGAAAAAAAGCCAAGCTGAGGCAAAAGCACCAAACTATAACATCATTTAGTTCCTAAAGGGTATAAACAACAAATCTAAAACCCAAAGGTGGGGTAAAAAAATAAAAGGAAAAAAAGTTTTATATAAAAATATGAGTAAAAGATAAATATAACAATAAAAGGCTTTAAAAATAAAGCCTTCCAAAAGAAAAACTTTCTGCAGAACATACATAAGTAGCAGTGTTAAAGCACAAAAAAAATACTTGGAGGGAAAAAAAAAAAAAATCAGGCTGAATTCAAAATTTTTATAGCCTAAGGAAAATTTTTTCCTCAATAAAGCAAGTACCTGTGACATGTGTTGAATATACTGGTATTTGAAAAATGTTACCTCCATTAACTATCCTTAGTAACTTGGCTGGCTGAAAACCAAATCACTACAAGAACATTCTAAACTCCACAGAGGCAAGATACTCCAGGGCAATTTCTTTTCAATTCCTTAAAGAAAAACAAAAAAAACCCAACCAACTCAGCTGTGAAACTTAATGTGATATAGTTTTATTACCTGGGTTCGTAGCTGTTTGATTTCTGTTTCAAGTTCTTTGATTTTCTCTTCTCGTTTCTGAAGCTCCACTTGGGCCTCCTGTCGAGCTGTGAACTCTTCATCAAACTGTAACGATTAACCAGAAGTGTTTGTCCATTTATGTCCACACTAAATACTATATTTTCAGGAATTCTTTGAGCAATATCACAACTAGAGCAATAGATGCACTTCTAACCTCTGTTAGAAGCATTTTTCTAGTATGTCCTCCTTTAGTACATCATTTCTTCCATCAGTAATAAGTCAGTGACACTCAGATCCAGCTGCTTAGTACAGGTTTTCCAGCCCTACCAGAACATTGCAGACTTCTCAAACTAAACTTGAGTTTACATCTCATGCAGTTACCTTAAATTCATTAGAAATGAAACCTGCAGTTACCGTGTTCAAGAACATGTACTGCCTCTTGGCTGGCAAAAGTCTTCTAAGACCAGACCAACAAAAATCAAAACTTTGAATGCTTTTAATACATGACACCACAGTACATGAACTTCAGTATTATTGCTGCTAATATAGTACATTCAGCACTTCATATGCTTAGACAGGATGTGATGAGAGGAGACTAACAAATACATCAACACAATCTAGGAAATAAGAATTTAAGGAGCTTGAGAAAACGTGTTCTATCAAAATATTTTCAGCACAAACACCGATAGTGATAAAGCAGAAGGTCCTGTCAATTTATTTAAAAATATATTAAAAAAAATGTTTATTACAAGAAATATACTGAGCTGCAATTCCTCCTACAGAAATAATTTTAAATGTCTCTCCTGCATCTAGTAATAAATCTGAACTGCCCAGTACTGAAATGAGATTTAGTTATCAAGTTCCTAATAAAATAGAACTGGACCAGAAGATTAAAATTGTTAGAAAAACAACTTCCTAAAGGAACTATAGGATTGCTAAATATGGCTAATAGGGGAATAAATTACTGTCCCTCATAAGATAATAATTTACCATGAGCATTTTAAGGAAATAATGCAGTATTTCAAAGTTAGCATCTCTGTGCTGAAGGGGTCAATGTTTTTTCAAACAGTGAATGACACCACTTTTCAGTAATTTCTTCAGGTTCTAAAACAAAGCTAGATAAACAGTTATGAACATTTTCCCCTCAATGTGTTTTTTAAAAACATGTACCTACACTTTAGGTATTTAATTGTGACTAAATATTTAAGGACAAGAGAGCAACAAGTGGAATTTTTCCATCAGTTATGTACAGCAGAGGAATACAACTGAAGATATGTACAGATAATACTATTCAGCTGCTTTTGAATTCAGACTCAACTGAATCTAAGCCTAGTACATACACACACACATACAGAAAAACCAAAAACCCATTGAGCTTTAAATATGAAAGCACATCGTGCCTGTGAGATACCCTATTTCCCAGTTCTCACTGTGAAATAAGCCTACTGTGTTCCTGTCAGCCTTCTGTTCCATACTTTAAACAGAGCAATGAGTGGGACTTACCTTTCTGGAAAATTCTGCTGCTTTCTTTTCACTCTCTTCTACTTTAGCTTTGTCCACACATGCATCTAGAATTTAAATAAAATACCACACAGAAGTCACATAAAACCTATCACAGCTCTGAGCTGCCTCCCAACCATAATGACCCTCCAAGCCCATGACACAAAAGCAACAGACAAATTTTCTTTTCACACTCTCATTTCATTAAAGGTTGTAGTATTTGATCTGGCCTTCTCCACAAGTGCACCAGTAGCTTACAGGAATATTTCCAGAAAACTGAAAAAATTCACAGTCAATGAAAGTCTAGACAGAAGGACACAAAGAAACACATGCACTTGGGTAGAACAAGGGAAAATTGTTTAAAGTGTACAAACCAACAAGATGTGTAAAATTCACGTCCAACCGTCCTCGATATTTAAAATCTGGGTCCATGCCACTGCAGTGCAACACTATCTGTGACACACATTCTTCTATGATCTTGTAATACTGAGGTCTAAAACAGGAAACATTGTACAAGACAACGAGAACATGAACAAGCATTTATTGAATGGGGGCAACTGTAACTCCTAATATATGAATTATACAATTATCAGTAAAAGTATCAGGTTAAAAGTCTTTTTTGTACTCTTATTAACAAAGATTTTGCATGTGATACCCTGGACCTGCAAAGACACTTAGATGCACATAAGAGAAGTTCACATTAAAAAGAAAAGATACAAGGAGCTGTGGAAGTATTTTCAATTATTGGTTCTACAACTAAATGTCAAGTTCCTTGAAGTCATGAAGCTAACAAAGAAAGAAGAAGTGCTCAATAAGTTAAGAGATTCTTGGGATGAGGATGTTAGACTAAGGTTAAAGTCTTTGAAATCAACCTTATTATATTTAATAAGATCTTTTCAATACTAACATTGAGCAGAAAGACAAAAAACACATCAGTCTCAGAGTGAATTTTCAGGCACAATTATGAGCTACTCAGTTTACCAGGGTCTTGATTTCTATTCTTGTCCCTATTCCCTCCAAAAAATCCAACCTGAGAGCTGACACTTACCTGATAAAGTAATCATTCCTGATGAGAAGGAAGTGTTGGAGGATTGACAAGAAGTAATTTTCAGAAGAAGTATCTTTCACCAAGTTATACAGCAGATGAAATACTTCGCTCACATCGGTGCAAACATTGTTAAGAAAATAAAACAACCAAACAAAACACAGAAGAAAACCACTACACAACAAAACACCCACCCTACTCAAATACAGCTCCCGGGACATTTTCCATATTGTTCAAGTAAAATCTTTCCACACTCTGAGCTACTATCCTTATCAGTCAATATTATTTTTCCATTAAGATTATCCCCAGAAACTTTGTCCCCTGTTTAACAACTAGGACACTTTCATTATTAGTGAAATTCTAGGACACATACTAAGTGTCCTAGAACCCCACAGAAATATTTCAAAGTTTTATCTCCATCCTGAAGTGAGCCAGGCTATTGGCAAACATACCCTAGTCAATCATTTTGATTTCTTAAAGATGACCAATCCCTGTAATTACCTGTTGTGCAAAGCAACAGCATTAAATGGGATTTTATAATCCTCACATTGACTCTATCTACCACCTTCTGCTTCCTCCTAGAAACTGCAAGCAGTCATTCTGAACTTAGTTAACTTTAAAATTACTGCTCCTTCACAGTTAGAGAAGGCACATATCTGAAGTGTTTCAGAACCTACTAGAAATTTTGTTCCAGCCTAGTTCTCAAAACTCATTTTTCTTCAAAGTTATGCTCTTCCAGAGGTGTAATTTTATATCTTGATGTATTATGAGACAGTTTAGCTTAATAAATGTTATTTATGAAAAATTAATTCAGTTCCAAATAACTTAAATTTCACATGCAAATTGAAGTCCGAATTTTCTAAATATTTTCTAAATATTTTTTAACAAAAAAGGCAATTGGAAAGAAAATCTGCTTGACAAAGTCCCTGCGACAGATAAACAACTGCAACAAATAAACCACATGTAGAGCACTATAACTTACATTTAATATAGTTCTTAAATGGTGCAACAAATTCTAACACCATTTCCACAAAGGATATTCCATTTCAGCTTTGATATCACTGAGACGGTGTGACAGTTCAAAGTGGTCTTCATCTTTGTTCTCATCAAACACTCTCAGCTGAATGTCAAGCTCATCATTTTCCTTATCTTTCAAGGCCTGTTTTTCAAGGCAAAGTATATCTTAATTTTTCCTTTTTTAAAGCAAGAACTCCCCCCTCTTGAAGGGCTCTATCATGGCAAAATACAAGACATTAACCTTTGGAACAGGAGTGAGCTGTAACTCAGTGCCTTTCATTAGAATGATACAGCTGAGAAAAACTAAAGGCAAAATATCAGCAAATAGAGCAGGTCTGGGCTGCAGAACAAACAAGAAGCCTTCTAACTGAATCAAGTTCTCCTAATGGGACAGAGTCAGCAGTTTCTGCTTGTAAATGTCAGAGTTCATAAAAAAAAACCAGTTTAAGGATATTTCAAAACATCAATTAAAGCGAACTTAAGAAGCCTAAAGTAGTGTAAAGAAGATATGTTTACAATTTCTTTTTTTAAAATTAATCTAAATCATAGCCTTAAAACATACATAGTACATTGAGAAACACAGAGAAGCAAAAAACCAAAACAAAACAGCATTTGGAGCAGGGGAAAATGTGTTTTTCTTTGAAGAAATACAAGCAATTGTTCTAACATACATAAGAATAAAGTTAGCTTCCTACCAGGGAAATCACAAAGAGAAATTACTTCCCAAGTCATGCTTTAAATGGAAATTGGCCTGGATTTGTCATAACTGGATGCAACCATGTGTATTCTCCAATAAAGCAGAAATTCATGCCAATTTAATGTTTATAAGCAGAGAAGGCTACTCTGAATCTGGACAGATTAAGAGAGAGAAATATGGATCCTCCTCCTGACTCTTTTTAAACAGATTAACTGTTCATGATTTTTAGAAAAGATTATCACCAAATATTAATTGCTTTTACACTCATAGCTGTATGTCAGAACACTCTACAAAGTTTTCTATCATGATTTATTACAACTCAGTTTATTTTCTACCTAATCCATCTCCAGTTCTTAAAGTTTTTAAGCATTTATTGATTCTCTAACTTTCAAGAGATTGAAAAAAACAAACAACCTATGGACTTCTTCAGGATTTCACATGTTCTATAGCAAATAAAGCCACATCAATGATCACATTAATGTATCTGTATGATATAAAACCTAAATACATACCCTAAGAAAAAAAAAAAATCACAATTTCAAGGCTGAATGTGCTAAAAAGTGAAGGTTTTTGTTCCTGAAAAATGTTCTTGACAAAACTTCATATCTTAAGAGTCACAGCAGCATAAATTCCATTTCAGATAAATATAAGCAGGTACTCTTTAATTCCTCTCATCTGATGAGTATCTTAATTGTACATATTTTTGATGTAAGCATCAGAATGATTTCTTGGTCAAGAGCTACAAATCTATCAAGTCACAAATATTCATACGTCTGTGCATATGACTGCAAGAAGACATGCAGTCTCAAAGAAAACAAAGGTGTAAATTTGATTTTTCCTTATAAACTCCCAATGCATTTTCAGCAGCAGATTAAAGCAAACCAGATTTCACAGAAAACAACAGGAACTGAACATACAAAGAAAGTTAATCCAAGATTGGTTCCACAGCCAGATTCATATTTATTGCATGTGCTTTGGGCACATTATGCTAGATTTGACTATCCAAATTTAATTCTTAATACATTGACTTGTTTCAAGCTACTATTCTGGTTCACACAGCTAAATTTGTAACTATGCAGACAAAAAGCAGATTTGGATTGATAGTCTGACCTTCCCCACCCCCAGTCCTTCACCTCATCTGCTGTCCTGAGTAAAACAGTTTGGTTATCTTGAACATTCCCAGTGGATTGCGATCAATTCCTATATATAAATAACTTACAGGTAATATTTTCTTCAGGCCACAACGTAAAAACTCATTTCTCAAGTGTATCCTGAAATCCAGATCGTCTGGAGATGTAACAAGGGCATTGATGAGCTGCATACAAGCTATCTGTTATGAGAAATAAAGGCAGAAAGCTTTAGTAAGTATGGAATGAAAATCAATACTGCATTTCACTATTTAAGTTTAATTATAAAAGTAAATACCAAGAGATGGATACTATTTATCATGTGGTACACATGCAACACTTGGGTTCATTTTAGCAACATCAAATTTTGCTCTGTTTCCATATTGTGATGCTTCTGCTATGTCAAAATCAGATCACATAAAGGATCATCACAGAATTACATCAGAGAATAGCTTGTGTTGGAAGGGACCTTAAAGATCATCTCGTTCCAACCCCCTGCCACGGGCAGGGACACCCTCCACTAGACCAGGTTGCTCCAAGCCCCATCCAGCCTGGCCTTGAGCATCTCCAGGGATGGGGCAGCCACACTTTCTCCGTGGAACCTCTGCCAGTGCCTCACCACCCTCAGAGGGAAGACTTTCTTCCTAATATCTAATCTAAATCGTACTAGTTATTCCCAAACTACAGTGGCACATCCCAGCTCCTTCTCTGTCTCCTCAGTATTCACCAGTTTGAAAACAGTTTCTACAGGAATTAAAAACTTTGAAAGAAAACAAGAGAACCACCCAAAAAACACCCATACCCAAAATAAGTCACATCACCAGGTGTGTGTGGTCTGTTCTTGCACCAGACTTTTGCAAAATGCCTGAAGTCTCAGGATAGTGGCTAAAGCTTTAATTGAACAGCTGTGCACTTAAATTGATTTACTTGAACACAGGTAGACAATAGCATAATGCTAAAAGTGCTGATTCACATGAAAAGAGTAAAATGGGACTCCAGGGGAATACCAAGTTTGGTAAAAGATGTTAACTGCAAATAGAAGTAGCATTAGGGTAGGACAGAAAAAAAAAAATCAATAACTGCAGTGGAAAAAAAGTCAGATAAAAAGCACCCTTCCTGTTATAATTACATTCACTATTTAGGTTTAATGGAACACCTTATGGAGTGTCAAATTTCTATTAAAACACCCTTTCAAAGGCAATCCCTTTATATAGCTGCATCTTCAGATAATGCAGTATCATCAGGCTTGCTTGAATGATTCTTGTTATTTTACTACTATGACATGACTTAACAAGCCAAAGTACATGTCCAATCTGAAATTAATAGAGAGAAGAGGTGCCATCTGCTATGATTGCTTCTGCCAGGAGAGACTCTGGCTTAATGGCTTGTGCTAATACATTACAAGTAAAGAACGATTTTGTCAGAAACAAGTTAATGAGTCTTGCAATTGTACCTTTACTGAGGTATCAGTGAGGTTTTGGGAGGGGGAAGTTGGCAGAAATGGTGTCTAGTTGCTTTTGTTCAGTTTAAATCAACAAGGTCATAAAGTAGGAGACAACTTCAGAATGAATTCTTTGGTGATAGGCTATTAAGATTAGAATGTCATTTACAGAAACTTATTGAACATCATTAACTCATCAGCTCTGAAAAAAGAACTACTGATAGTAAACATAGCATTAAGACAACTAAAGTTGACACATATTTGATCCAATACTGCAAAAAGGCATCCCTTCCAGGCAGGGTACCTGCCCTGCCTGCATTGTACTTTTCCCTGTCTTTCAGCCATGGTAGCTGAAATACAGATTTTAGCAATGCAAAATGTGTATTAATACTGTATTATGAGAAGAACATAAGTCAAAGCCATCCTTTAATAAGGTATTCAGCCATGTGGTCTCTATGCTTGTATTTTAAGAGCAACCAAAATTTGGGCTATTCAGGTGCTCACAGAGAATAAAAACTATCCACTGACACATAAGCAGCAACATATGTGATGTAGGACATGACTTAGCAAAGACCACTGGTATAGAATGTTTATTTCATTGTTTTATAAAAATAACTTAAAAAACTCGCTAGATTACCCTTAGAGATGCACTAATGGCTGATGGAAGGCACATGTTGAACACGCACTAAGGAATGCAGAGTTCTTGTTGACAAAAGCACCACTGATATCCTGCTGCACAGTACTCATCTCAAAAGGTACCCTGCCAAAAATGGGCACACCCAATTCCACATCTGTCATAATTAGCATATATCTGAATATGTAAAAGGCACACATATACTGCTGCCAAAAGTCCCAGCACTACTAACAGGCTTATTACCTGAACATTACATCTGGCATCCAAGAAAAGGAATATCATTAATTACTGTCTTTTTCTAAGATCAAGACTTTAGGGACAAAGGGCAAGGAAGTGAGTTCCTTGGTTTCACACCATTAGCAATTAGAAAATCTAATACCAGCAGGCATTTGCATGTATTTCTCCTCTTTTATTGCACACTGGAGTAATAGCACTAATAGATTTTGCTTGTAACTAATTTAAAAATCATGAAGTAATACACAGAGTTCTAGTATTTTAGATGATTTTTCAAGTGTTGCTAAGTACTCAGAAAAGTAAACTCACCTGCAGCTGTATGAATTCATGGTTCTCCAGTCCTTCAACAATCTGAGAAAAACGTTCTTCCCTATTGTTTCTTTCAGCAGCAGTTGTTATAGCAGTTAAAAGCTTGTCCAGACTAAAAGAAAGATAAACTGTCAAAAAGCACAGCACAGCCAGCTTTCTCATTTTGAACATACTCAGCTCACTATTTCTACAACTCAAGTGCACTGACAGAGTTTGAACACATTTATCTACATAAAGTTGAAAACAAACCAAGAACCAAGTGTTAAAACTATCTAAAAAATTAATGTTGAATTAAGGAAAAAAAGGTGAATAAATCTCTAAATTATTGTGACATTCAGCTAAGAAACAACCAATGAGGGGGGAAAAATTACTACCTTTGCAAGACCATGCACTAGATACCGGCTGACATGTTTATCATCCCAAAATTCCAATAAATTGTCTTTTCAGAAATCAAAATGTTTTAATCTATTTATTGAATAGAAGTTTGGAGTTTGTCCATTTTAACCTTCAGTAAATAAATACACTGATGAATTTAAAAGAAATGTTTGCCAACTGATTATATTTATTGTAAAAATCTCTTGGGCAAGTGCCAAAATACTCCATAACTTGAACTGTTTCCAACTCCAGCTATAAATGTAAACTTCTTGTCCCTGTGATAAAGAGGTGATATTTTAATAAAAAAAACCAAAATATATTTATTTCCATATTATTCTTCTAAACTAATTAAAAATCTTAAGGTGTGGTGCCATTTTTCGACACAGGCAGTTCCTCTCCCCTCCTCAGGGGAGATGTCCCAGTCTCAATTACAATCCTCCCTACACTAATAAGCTCAGTAGTGCCCCATGCACATTGTTCTAAAGTGTCTTTAAGTCTGGTAGCTTTTTTGTCATGATTAAAGTTCACAATTGCTAATTATTCTCAGAGAAATATGAAATAACTTATATTTATGAATAGTTATGGCTCATTAAGTCTTCTCTTTAGTAAGCAACCTTCATCCTTTCAGACCTCCCGCTTCAGACACGGTTTGTGGATCTCTGCTCATTTGCTTTTGTTTGATTTAATCTTGGATTAAAGCACCAGAACAGGTGCAAGTCTCTTTTCATTTGAACTACATTAATAACAACTTAATAGGTTACATTTGTTTCACTGACAAGTTTTCTCACCTGTGTCCAAACTGACAACTCATGAGCATTTAAAAAGAAAAAAAAAATTGCTTCAATATCTTACTCACATGCTTTCCTCTCCAACAATGCAGATGGCAGAGAGTATTTTCACCGTTTCAGTCATCATGTGTGGCTGCTTTGGATCAATTGCTCTTGATAGCAGTAAGAGACCTCTTTGATCTCCTATAATCCTTTGCAAACCGTACTTAAGGAAACAGAAAGCTTACAGTGAAAAGATTTTATTTGCCTGGGATACTCATCACCATCTTTGGGCTTCAGATCCTTAGGAACTCTATCAAACCCTCCCTCCCTTATGAAGTTTGGCAACATTCTACTAAAACCTCCTGCTTATCACTGCTTGGGGAAAAAAGTCAGTCTCCCCAGTCTTAAATTTGAGGCTTTCTCCTGAGAGAGAGAGAGAGAGAGAGAGTGTCAGTTCCTCAGGAAGACACTTATCTTATAAAATCAGATATCCACCAAAGAAAAATTAGGGGGTTTTTCTATCTATATCTGAAACACCTCAACAGTATGAAAATTTTATTCATTTTTCCCACTTCGTTAAACAGACTATCCTGTAACATTTTTCTAAACTGAGTAAATGTAGTTAAAAGTAATTTTTATGAAGTTTTATTTGCTGAGGAAAATAAATACAAGACTTCAGATTTTGCTATGCATAAATCAGAATTACAAGTCTAACATACCTAGAAACAGTTTTCATAGTTTGTGAACATGAGTAACACATGTTAGAAACAATTTAGATACAATTTAACCTAATCCTTTACACACTGCCTACCAACTTAAAACTGCATCTAAAAAGATATTAAATCATACTCAATTTAAAAATCAGGCAAAAAGTACACTATACTATCAAAGACAATCATATACTCAAGTCTGAATTTGGAAATATATATTTTTCTTTCAATTTCCTAGCAATGAATTTCCAAATTCAATTACCTTAAATTTATATTACCATCCTCTGTCAAATATTTTACTTCCAATAATCAATAGTACTTAACTAAACTAAGAAAAATGCATATTCAGTACAGTTCACAGAAAAGATTCTCAACAGAAGTTGCACTAAGTTTTTAGACCTGCATTTCCAAAGAGTTAACTAACCCTGGACATACAAACTTTCCTTCCTTCTCCAAGATTCAACATGCTACACAGATCTTGAACTCAGCAAAAGTCAGTCACTTGAATTTAAAATAATCCTTACTTTATTGTTCATAAATGCTCTGAGGCACTGGATAAGTTTATGTTGATTCTTCTTATCAATGCTTTCTTGCCTTGAAAGGAATGAGGAAAATAACATAAGTAAAATCTTCACAACCTCCCCACACTTCCCTTCAAATAGTCCAAGTCCTTACTGTTTCTTGTCCAGAAGCTTTTCCAATGCATCCAACAGAAGCCCAAGACCTTCATGTCCAAAATTGTTAACCCAGCTGGAAAAAAAAAAGGAAAAGAAATGCTCTTAAATATTTCTTAATCTAATGTAAACCTTGCAAAGGTGTGTCTCCCTTACTGCCTGTACATCCCTTCATAGGCTCCGCTTCAAACCATATCACTCACTTCCCAGAAGACCCGACCAACCACCAAGACAAACACTCAGTTCCAACAACTACAAGTTGTTGAGAAGCGCTGTGAGAGGTGAGGGGATATTGCAGACAGTTGCAAACATTTCACTCATCCTTTTCCAGTGTGCTGAGAAAACTGCTCTCATGTCAACAAGTATTTGCATAATTTCTCTGGCTCCAAAAAAAAAAAACCAAAAACACAAACCCCACAACTCTTTCTTGCTTAGCAAAAACAGCATGATGAAAACTAGTGCAGGAATTGCTACTCACCTGACTGGATTGCTGGTTAGAGACACTCTCAAAGACTCCAGGCAATTAAGAAGTTTTTCATCTGAAATTCCAGATCGCAGTTCATGGATATATTCTTGTGAGGACAGTGTGCATTCATGCTTGCTGTTTTTCAGTCCACCCTATCACAGGAGGTAGAATGCTGCTTATTGTTCTATCCGTCACAGTAGTGTTTAGATGATAAAACACAAGACTAATATTTCCACATGAATTTTTAAATCACACTACAAGTATTAAAGACACCTGACTTGACTTGGATTTGTCATCAATGTTTAATACTTTCAGATTTGCATCATAAGGGTAAATATTTTTTCTGGAATCTTTTTCACTTCTTTGAGTAAAAGTGCATGCACTACAAATTGAATATAAAAATTTAATTCCATCATTCAATTGCATTAACATGTTAAATGAGTGTGCAGCAGTCAAACATCTATTTCACAAAACCGCATTAGAAACAATTATAAACAGAGACACACAAAAAAGCCCACAGTTCATGCAACTGCATGACTCAATTTCTTGCTGTGCCACAATTCCGTGTTTGGCCCCTAATAGAGATCTCCAGAGGATCTTGTTTGCTACAAAAAAATCATATGGGAGATTTGACAAAGAGCTCATCTCCCTGCTGAACTGCCACTACAGAAGAATAACTACTTACAAAGTATTTCAGTATTAAAATAACTGATTATCAGTTTTTAGAGCTGTCACATTCAAAACCATGACCAATACACAAAATATTTCACCAAAGGGTGTAACTAATCTTTTGTACAGCTCTGACAAGTTGCAGTGGGCTTATCTCAGAAGAGTGGTTGTGATTCATACGCAGTTCTTAAAGCTCCTTAGCTCAGAAGGGTCTGTTGAAGAGAACCTGATAAGGATGTCATGGGTGTAAAGGCAACATGAGACAGGTCTGGCCTAGAAGAGGATTTATATGTATGTGGTTTCAATTGTATCAGGAACTCCCACTACTAATATTCTATTTGTCTCTCTTTCACAAAGCTCCACTTCTTATGAAGTTTCCGGTTTGCTCTAATAAAATTCTTATCATCCATTTTCCAAAAGTGACACTAAGTATGGCTGATGACAAAAAGACTTGTCTAAATTTAAGTTAATGACTTTGACCTATATATTCCTGTTATGTGCATTGAATGTAAGTTCACAACATATTTTCAAATTCAGAATAAAATCATGACAGACTGTGAATGTATTGAGACAGTGTCTGAACAGTGTCAACTCTGAAGATATTTCTTGCTGACATGCACAGCACCTTTAGCTGGACATGTCAGCTATACATCAAAGGACCAAGACAGACAAAGATGAGTAAGTAGGATATAAAGGAGGTACAATCAGTCACCATCGGCCTCCTAAACCAAGACATGGTCTTCTACCAAAAGACAAAGAAATAAACAGGTGGGGATTATCTTTACAAGAGGAGGGACTGACTGTAAATCAGGTAAATATATCAAAAATCATCATAGTTCAGAAAAACCATCATTCTGAGAGATCAGAATGTAAAGAACTAGAAAAGACCAGAATGTAAAGAACAGGAAGAGTTTTATGCTGCTCATTGAATGGATGGAAGCCAGAAGAGAGATTTTATGTATAACTAAAGTACAGCATCTACACAATGTGGATCTACACTGGACAGAATTTTTGTCATTTTGGCCATTTTCCAAACTATAAAAGAACTACTGCTGTAAGCCACAAAATGTATAGAGAGAAGAGATAATGGCAACTTCAATCAAGCTAGACCCTAAAAAGCACTCTAGAATGCAAGAATCCAACACATAATTGATTTTTCAAAGAGATTATTTCTTGTCATTACTGCCCTTCCACTGCAGTGCTTGGGATCCCATGGAAAACTCAAATAAGTCAAAGCTCCAAAGTTGCCATGAACAGGCAAACCTCTTCTCTGCAATTGTCACTACAACCCAATAGCATCAACCTCCCAAAATTCTTTTCCACAACCACAGTAAATCTGTAAATCTTCAGGAAAATAGCTACATATGCTGGCAGATCAAAGAACTCCTGAAGGATGACTCCTGTGAAAACATACCCTGTGAAGGAGCACACCAAGTACAAGCATTCTTGAAGTAATAATATGTAGAAGCCATACCCAGCACTTATTTTATTGTTTAGCAAGTAATTTGTACAAAACATTTTAATGCACTTTTAATGCAGAACTATTCTCGATCTCCATCAGGCCCTGAATTAAAAGGCATGGGGACATAAACAGATATTAGAGTTCCTCCCCTACCCATTCTGCAAATATCAGCTTCCCTTATAAAATAATCTCTTCATAAAACAGCTGTTCAGGCTAATTCATATCAAAAGGAAACTACATGGCAGCAGGGATTATTTGAAACTGGTTTTAACATAGTGAACTGGAAAATTAATAATCTGTCCCCTCAAAAATCAAATACCTTTAAATACACAAGCACAAGCAAGGTATTTTCCTCTATGGGGGAAGAACCAGTACTCTGTACAAAACTGAAAAGTACTGGTGAACCCAAACAAAAAGTCTGCTTAAAGACCACTCTGAATAAAACAAAGCCAACAGGAAGTTCTTTGTCCTATACACTATATTTTATATATAACTAAATCTGAGGTGATGATTAGACAGTTTTAATTCTTAAGCTATTCTCTATTATTTTTACTACAGAAAATAATTACTGAATATGACCTTAGTAGAAAGCCTTGCAGTACCTGAAAAAGCCTGTTTTGGCTGAAATAAAAAATAATGTCCATCTGTAACTAAAAAGAACATCTTGGCTTTCAGCCCCTATTTTAAATGTATTTGCAATTATTTCCCCAAAATTCCTGTTTTCCAGGAAACACATTAATTCCCAATTATTTGTTTATATTATTTTCATTCAATCATGACAATATAAAATGTAGATGAGTCCTTAATAAGAGAAAAGATATGCTGTCAGTGATTTCATCTTATGCTTATTAACTGACCTTTTGAATCCTCTAAATTAATCTTTTTCTCATACTGATATGCAGTAGTTGGCATTTCCAAGACCAACTATGAATAATAACAATTAGGACATAGAAAAACTCCACATCTAAACAGCAGGAAGTAAGCCAAATACTATCAATTTAAAGCTTCAAGTACCTGCCTTCAATAAAAAGAAAGACATTATAATTGAATTATAATTGTTGCTCACAATGAAGGGATGAGTTCAGTGAGTTCAAAGTATTTGGAAACAAACTCCTGAAAATTTAAAAGCAAATCCCTCAAAAGTGCAAGCAATGATCTTATGGTGGTAAGATAAACACGACTGAGGTGGTTGATAATTAAAACAAAGATTCAGTTATGCCCATTGAACTTTTAAATCCCAGAAAAAAGTCCAAAATATTCCAGCCTAATCTTCAAAAATGGAAGTTGATTCATAAGGAAAAACAAAACCATTACGTTCGTACTCACCGGAACTTTACTTCCGACTATCTGCATGCAGTGGTCAGCCAAGAGAGGTTATTGTGTGAAAAAGATAATAATAATACATAAATAAACACAGCAAAGTACTTAGTAGGATGCAGTATCACACACATTTTTCAGTGCTTAATCATTAGTAGTAGTTGCATTCTTTGATTACTTTATCAAACTGTCTAAGAGTTAGAGCTTCTCAATAGGAAAACAGTAGTTCTACTGCAGGAGAAACAATTTCAAATTCTTATGTTCCACTGCTGAATCATCAGTATTTGACACATTTACCAACAGATAACTAAATACCTGGCTTGACAGCTACATCTTGAAAGATTAAGTATGCCATTTGGTTAAAATTATCAGGTCAGAAATTTTATATATGACACTGAGAAACTACAGAACACACTAATGGCATACTCACTTCCTTGGATGTATAACGACTTTACATATTATGGAGCTTTTGATCTATTTAGATGATGTCACCACTGAATTTAATTAAGTTTTCATAATCAAAAACATAGCCTACAGTTATAACTCTAACTTGCATTTCAGAAAAACCCTGTATGGCATTTTTATTTAACTGCTCGGTATGGATGCTTTTAATTACATGGATAATTAAACAGTGATTTTCAGAATGCCATCTTCTCTTTTTGCCACTGAACAGCATCTCTGCCTATTCCTGAACAAAAGGTTGACTTTCCACATAGGAAACTCCACAGGAAGGCAGCACATCTGTGCCCTGTTCTCTCACTTTGCACAAATGGCCATGTTCCTGGGAGCACCAGGACTATGGACTTCTGCTCAAACATCGTTGGCCTTTCCTCGTCAGCTGTTTGCTGCAATCTCATGGCAGCAGTCCCTTTACTGAATAACCACTTCTGTCTGATTAAGAGCCTGATTTTGTCCTGAGATCTGAATTTGACTGTATCTGTTCAGCCTCTACCTGCTTCATTTTCTACTCTTATCTCTTCTATTATTACTTTAGGAAGTCTTTCAGAAGCAGAAGTCCCTGCAAGGCTTTCACAATCACCTCTTCTCTCCTCTTCCTGATGAAGCTTCCTCTAGAAGTACAAGATGAACTGTCATCACCAGACAATCTTTTTTCCTAATTTACTACCTTCTTCTCTCACCAACATTCAACTATTCAACATGGAATGAAATGTCACCAAGTTCAGTTCTGAAACAGAATTTCATTCCTTCACCAGTGTAATTTCCCTGGTCAACAATCTTTCTCTTCAAGCAAGAGAAGGAATCAGAAAATCACTTCAAATGAAAGCATCCAGCTCATCAGCTTCTACATGTCCTCCACCCCCAAGAAAAAGGAAAGCTTTCTTCATCCATGAAACCCAAGTTTCCTTTCTCACTCAGAACTCCAAAAACAGAAGTGTTTCAGAAAAGCATGGTCAACATGCTGCAGATGGCACACAGGCAGAGGAAACAAGCACCAAATTCAAAACCAATTTGGTCAAGACAACAACAGAAATGAAAGTGATACTTTCACATCAGTTGAGAGAACTCAAAAGCCTAATTAAAACAAACATGAAATGAACCACGAGAAAAGCTGTATCAACTGTTAAGTGTGTTTCGTGAGCTCTAAGCAGAAGAAAAAGTCCAAGTATTTTCAATGTAAAAAAGGAACATCTGTGATCAAAGAAAAAGGTAGAAATTTTAAGACATTTTAAGATCACTTTGAATGCAACCAGCATTTTCATGGATGACAATCCTGAAGAAAAGAAAGTTTGACAGTTCATGATGTAATAAAGATTAATTAGGGCTTGAATTCATTTGAGCAGAATTGTAGTTTCACTAAACAGAAGATGAATTAAAAAGTGAAAATGAGCTTTGCTCCATTGTAGGAGTCCAATCATCATTTTAAAATTAAGGCCTATATTTCTTTTTTTTTTAATCAATTAAGATGCTAGTTATTTGAAAATTAAACTGAGGTAACATGCTACGGAAAGGTAGTTTATATTTCTGCACAATTCCATTCAAATGCTGTGATTCAATTGCAAGAAGGACACACCAAAGCACACAAACTTCAATACGAGACGTTTTTCCAGTAGGAAAAACATTTTCTATATGTGTAAAACATCCATAGTGGTGCTGACTTAAGCTCTGAGTGCACATTCACATACAAGGACCTTCTAGGATTATTTTTTTTCAATTGTTAGTACATTTTGACAAACATATTCCCAGTTCTGTTAAGTTTCCCATGCTGCAGCACATATGGTGGCAGGAATGCAATCTGTTAAAGTTCCAGCAGTTAGCCATGCAATGGGAGCCATGCTTTCCTTGCTCAGCCACAAAATTATGGTACATTTCAGCATCAGTATAAACGAGAGAGATCACCATTGTTCAACTACTAGTTGGAAAAAACTGGAAGTACTTTCACTTCTATTTTGTGCTTTCCCTTTCTACTGCTTCGATAAAATATTCTTACTTACCAAGAAAAATTTAGCATTGATCACTAAGTGAAGTCAAAAACCTTACACAGCATAATTAATAGTTCCCAAAGATAGTCTAGGCAAAGTACATTAACAGGCAAGCTCATACTATTTACTGCATAAGCTTGAATAATTCTCCAATAACTTGTATGTTTAGTCAGACTATGCTTTAAGCACTGGATTCCTTCCAGCACAGACTTAAGGACTGTGGATTTTGTTTAAAATGAACTCAAGCAGGAACATCACTCCTCTCAGAAACTAAATCACCATTTTCATTACCATTTCATCACCATTATAATGCAAGATTTGCCTCACCAAAGTTTATGTTTCATGAAAGGCATTTGCATAATAATTGCATGTCATCGTAGTCTCAATTTTTTGAAATTTAACTCTGCAGAGCTGATTGTCAAGGTTAAAAAGAGGCAAGTCAGCTGTACTGCTTGCAGTCCATGCTTGTAGATTCATTAGGCAGACACCAACATAATCTTATTTGTCAGTTTATTTCCCCACAAAACAGATTGTTTAATGCTGTCTATATTTAGCACTCAGACTCAGCTCCGCAGAAGTGCTGCCGCTACGTTTGAACAATTACTCCACAAGTGGTCTTCATTTCCAGTAAGCTTTTACTGCACACAGCAACTTAAGTATGACAAAAAGATGAGATTCATTAGATTCATTCTCATTTCCAAAGAAAATCATATGCGTTACCTAATTTTATTGAAGAACTACACTGATAGCAAATTTTGTCACTTGAAGCACACTAGTGCCCCTTGGAAACACAGAGCTTCCCCTCAGCACCACTTCTTCCCAACACTTCAATTCACCCGGTCCCTTAAAATACAAGAACTTAGAATACCACTAGGAACTTCCTTAAAATTCTTGATACAACAAAAAGGGGCACAAATCAGGACAAAATCTGTTTCTAAGAAATCACAAGATCCGACATTTGCAAGTTTTTGCGGCATATTCTCCTTTTACATGATAAGAACTATATATGCCATGGTCAATTTTTAACACACAAAAAGCACTGCTGTTGTATGTTATAACCAATTGGGACTAATATTCCAACTGCAGAAAATAAATAGTAGCTCTTCACTATTTAAAATTGTATTTCTGCAGCCCAAAAAATGTTTGGGCATCCTGTCATTTCCTTAAAATTTTGGCACCTTGAAGAAGATAGATTTCAAAAATTCCACATGAAGGATCAACCAACAAAGTGTTAATCATTCAATTAAAGAACAGAAAATCACCAACACAAATGGAAGGTCCAAATATATTTTTCCTATTCAAAATGTAATTTGAAACTCCTTTTCACTAAAGGAATCCAGTATGCACGTCACTGCTGAAACCACGAAGTTCTGCTATCCCTTCCAAAAACTTTTGGTACTAAAAATTCCTAAGATGAATTCCACAGAAATATGCTCAGCTTTTATCCATGACTCTACATCATTCGATTTGCAATTTCCTCTATTTTTTTTTACAAGAAAGGATCAAGTTTTTACATTGCCCAGCAACTGAAACACAAACTAACCCTTCAGATGCAGCTGCAAGCATTTCAAAATATATTAGTAAGTACAGACTTATTTATTTGTTCCTACCACTCTTAGATAAATTCAGACAAAACAAAAATTTAAAGTTTCAAGCTTGAAAAGCATAACACTCATAAAGCTTCTTTCCTCTGTCTTGGAGAGGTGAGTACTTACGGATTTGGCAGTTGCAGAAATGTATTGGACAACCATCTCCCGTTTTGTGCTCAAGTCTTTATCTCTTAAAGGAGCTTTACGTTCCTCATTTAGGTTCATGTCTTCCTGTAAAGAAACAGCCCACACAACAATCTATTTCATGCTTTTTACTAGTCTTTGTTTTTTTTACACTACTTTTGTTAAACGAACAAGAAGTAACTTTTTCCAGTTTATCTGCAGATTTTTTTAAATTTAATTTAATTTTTAATTAAACTAATTTAAATAAAAAGTAGTTTATTTACTTAATTAAAATAAAGGGTAGTTTACGTTGGTGAAATTTGGCTCAAGAAATAGAACTAGAGGACAAACAAAAATCCTACACCTCAAGTTGATACATAAGTGTTAACTCCCATGAAGTTTCCTGTGTTTTTAATACAATCTTATCACCACAGGCACCATTCCTGCATTATCTAATCAGAAGGCTGTTATTACATGGATTATTAGCTTGTAGAAGTGGCAGATGTGAAAGTGTTCCAACTGATGTATTTAAAACAAGCCTAGAAGTCAAAACATTCTGCTAGATTAAACCCAAAGATGCCTGTTTTAACTTAATAACTCATTAAATGCAATGTAATCATTACTAGTCATGCCATTAAAAGTCAAAGTCACTTCAGATTAACAACTAAAGCCAGTAAATGCTACTGTAATAACTTACTAGTGAACAGCTTTGTCAGAGAATTGTGAGTCTCTGAAAGACAGACCTATTGTCTGCTTCAATTAACATTACCTGGAAAAGTTAAAAACTAATCCCTTTACCTAACAAGTAAATCAAGGAAGTGTTAATTAACACTTATCCAATCCTTCAAAAGAGATTCACAGCTTCATTGACCAGAGCAGAACCACACAGTGGAACAGGACAGTTCCTGACTGCATGGAAGTTCACAACAATTTTGAAGAATGATACAGAGAAGCGTATTTCTAAAAATACTCAAAAAACCTCATTTCTTGATACTTCACGTACCAATACCAGTGTGCATGGCAGGACACACCTACTTCAGTTAGTTCCTGTGTTATGAACAGAAAAGCTGCCTTGTGAGTAGAATCAGAAGCCTTAATAAATGATCCTATGAGAGTGGATATTTAAGACTATGCAAAAATTCAGGTTTCTAGGCATTAATATTTTATTAATAGAACATACTATTTTCCAACAGTATTTATTAACTTCAGTTCATTAAAAACAGTCCTTCAACAGCAGTATCTAACTACTGCAACTAAGATCTATAGGGGTTGTTTTAACGAAGCAATCAACAGTTATATTTTTTTAAATTTAGGCTTTTTGCCTTTGTTTTGCCTGTAGAAGTAGATCATTTAAACATCTCTAATACTGGCATTCTCTGAGTTACTCAGTTGTTTATGTGCCAGTTTAGACTGGTCTATTAGGCCTGTATTACCCCATACCCTCACAAGGCATGGGATACTCCCCAAAATTACAATATTTGAAAATAACTGCTATACAATAAATACTAACTTGGAATCAAATTAAAACTTGTAAAACTATGTGGAATATCACCTTACCATCATTTTTTCAAAGAGATCCATCACTTCTTTTTCTGATAAGTTCATGCAACGCTCATCAACAAGCGCCTGGGCATGTGGGATCTCACTAATGGAAGGTTGGGAGTCAATAGGGTGCTGAATAAGAGGCTTCTCTTTTTTCACTGCAGATCTCCTGAAGCTTGTAATCCTGTCACGCTGCAAAGACATCCATTCAAAAATAAGCAGAAATCGAAATATAGGAAAGCAGCCAATACACACATTTTTAGTTAATTCAAGCAGCAGAGTTAAAACTCAAACTGAACTGTAAGTAAAAATACTCTTAATATTCAGAGATTACTTTTCACAGAAAGACAATAACATATAAGGTAAACTCATGACAGGTCACATGCAAAAGCAATATAAATATTTCTCACAGCTTCAAAACTATACCATTTAGGTTAAAGTTTTAGCATTTCAAAATCTTCAACTCATCTTCTCACATTTTTCCCTAATTATCCTGATAGTGAATAAATATGGTACCACAAAGGTAATGTCCAAGCGTTCCTTCACCTGAAGAGCTATAAGTCTTTGGAGGACAACTGAAAAAGCCAGCGTTGGGAGGGAGGTACTCACAAGTTCATCAGGCTTATAAAAAAATCCTGCTAAAGTAAAATAAAGTTTGTAGAGGAATTAATGCTCCAAGCATAGTTCACAATTCCTTGAAGCGTTTTTCAGTACAGACTCCTGAAATTAGTGCAAAATTTTAAAAAGCCAGGTAATGGATTACTGACACAGAAGCAGCCACCCATAGTTAAATACACATAACAGACATTAGTGAAAGCATGTCATACAGTCTGCCACTGACTTGCTTTAGCCCTTACACCAAACCCCCAGCTTTGTTTTTTAAGCATGCTTACTCAGTTACTTTGTTAATACTGGAAACAACCAATAAGGGCACCTTCCTCATAAGGCCATTTATTACTTTATTTTTTAAAAAAATAATTCTATTCTGAATAGATTCCAATTTTTTTGACTTAATAACTGCTATAATGATATGTATATATATATAAATATGTGTGTATATATATATATGCTCATTTCGAGAATGTTATGCCTATAGCAATTTTTCTCAATTAACTGTTTGCATCAACAAATACTCCTGTATTTGTTTCAGACACTGAACAGCCTTATGAAGATGTGCTTTCATCTAATAGCAGCTTATGTAGGGTTACCAGGATCATTCATGGCAGTTTTCACCTCCATGAAAACACAGAAACCAAAATTTATATTTGCTACACTTATACAACCTCTGTGAGGTGTGAAAAGCTTAATGGAATATTTCAATTGCAAAAATTTTGATTCATTTTAGATTAGTGAGTCCAGAGTGGAGAAATTTGAACAAGTGCTGTGGAGTACAGGGAAGAAGGATTTTTTTTTTTCTGTCACTGTTTTGTTTCTTTTTCTTGTTTTTTGTTGTTCATTTTTTTTGTTTTTATTTTTTGAGATTCTAGAAGACTACCTTAAAGCTTTGAAGTAAAGTATCCCTAGATAAGCTGCATTCCCTTTGAATTTCTTTTGAGCTTTTCTGGGGGGGTTTTATGTTTTCTGAATGGGGGTAGGTAGGTTTTCTTCTTCCTTAGAAATCTTACATTTGTGGACAGAAACACAATACCTACAAGGATATAGCTGATGTCTTTAACAAGGCAAAAATATTACTGTAATCCTTTTTTTTTTACCTTATTAGAATAGCTTAAATTACGTTTTTGGAAAGTAAAATTAGGGCATAGCCCAGTAAAAAGGCCAAGGATAGGACACAATGCCTGAAAAGGCAGTATCCAAATTTAGCCAGTACACACCAAATGCAGTGCAACTGTTCACTTATTTTAAAAAGTCCATTCAGCAGTCACAAAAAGCTATTTAAGATCCAATTACACCATACTGTGATCTGTTTCAAATATAACTTATTAACAACAAATTTGTTTAATGAGATTGCAATAGTGAGATTGCTTTGAAGCCACAAATAAATCTTCTACATGATTACTAGGTACAATCTCCTCATTTCAGACATGTAGAATATCAGGAACTAAACAGCCAGCGTGGCTTAACTATTATATATATAATGCAAATTTTTAATTTTCATGAAATCAATTTCGATAAAACTTTCTGCAAAAACACTTTGTGACAGGTTTCAAAGTATTCAGTGCCATAAAGTTAGTGCTACTGAATACAAACTTGTTGTTTGGAATTCAGTACACACTTATTACCCAATATGGTTTTATTTGAATCATGTGGCAACTAACTTTGAAGAACCACTGCAGATCCTTTTCTGTTAAAGAGAAGGTCAAGAAAAATAACACTTGAACTGTTGAGTAACAGTTTCAACGCATCCACGGTATTACTGAAGTATTTAGAATGTGGTCAAGGAAGTTTCTTCAAATAGAAATCACAATTAATCTTCTTCAACAGAAATTACAACTTAAGATCTTTAGGAATAGTCACTCAATTTTCTGAAATCTATTGCTTAATATCCTTATAAGAACATGTTATTTTGTCCACAACATTTGATGTAAAGTAGCATGCAGCGTGGAGTTACCATTGCAAATTAAGATGCTACAAAGACCTTACCACATCATCTGCCAAAGTTTTTATTTGAATATTCTATTAAAAAAAAAAAAAACAACACACACAAATCAAAGAAAAAAGACAGCGTTACCTACTGTTTTAGAATAAAGAAGTCTGTATTTCATGTATTTGAACATTTAAGAGCATTTGAAATTTCACTATGTGTTCTAACAAAGCTAAATGAACATGGAATATACTGCATTTTCTATGAAAAAGCAAGCTTGTATCCCATTGCACCTTGTCTTTTGACTACTTAAATCATGAATCTAAAACCTGCATTGCTCTAGTACCCCCAGTATTGCATAAAAATGCAGCAAGATCTCTTAGAAGGCTTTCCAAAACAAACATGGACTCCTGGACTTCAAACTGCGTCAGCAGAGAGTTATGTGACATTCTCAGCTCGGACCATTTTTGAGACTCAGAGCCGAGAATTTCCTGTGCCCAAGCTTCTGGAGCCTTCTGCCAACTTCTACACTGAGTAATGTCCATTAGTAGATGAACTGGTGATTCACAAACCACTCACTATCATCTCTCCCTTCCTTTTACCCATTCACTTTCCCCTTAAGAGCAGGAAAATCCTGCTGACAAAAATCACCGATATTACATTTCTATTCATGGCCAAAACTACTTATATTGCACACCAATATCAATAACGGTTATCAAGGAAGCATTCAGTTCATGAACTTTGCTCAATTTACATGAAGTCATGAATAGGAAATAAGGTCTAGAACTTATGGGGGACAGAATTGGAGAAGCTTTCAGAAGTACGTGGGACAGTGTGGTGGACTGACCCTGGCTGAGAGGTCAGTCCCCACAAAGCCACTTGCTCATTCCCTCTCAGCAAGATTATGTAGACCATCAGAAGTAAAAAAGCAAGACAAACTTAATGGTTCAGATACAAAAAAAAAAAAAAAAAATAAAAAAAAAAATAATGAAACCAATTATGCAAAACCATCAGGGAACACCAGTAGACCAATGCCTACCCAGCTTCTGAGCAACTGCTAATTTGGAAAAACATCCTCCCCCCCACTCCACAGCCCTGGATTTATTTCTGAACATGGTGTCATATGGTTGGAATATCTCTTTCATCACTGTGGATGAGCTGTGCTGTCTGTATCCCCCTCCCAACCTCCAGACCACCCACCCTGTTCCCAGGTGGGAAGCAGTAAGCCTTGACACTGGAAAGGCATGTTCAGCAAAAGCTGAAGCACTGGTGTTCTATCAACACTGCTTTGATCACAAATCTCGGACACAGCACTATATGGGCTGCTGTGAACAAACCACCTCAGCCTGACCCAGTACAGACATCTGTACATCCAGATGTTGACACCTTCAGCTTCCAAACTGCCACATCTCCATGCCCTTCCTTATGCCTCTCCTGTATTTTCATTACCTGGACTTAGAATGGAGCTTATAGTCTTGAAATCAAAACTAAGATGTCCATACTCTGGTAAATAGATCTTTTCTTTTTAATTGAGATTACTGAGCAAAATGAAGTAAAGCCTAAGCATGATTTCAACACAGAGACAACTGCAAGCAAGAAGTTCTAAAACTGCCTGTTCTAGCAGTTACTTGTACCAGAATTTTTTTTCCCCTTCTCATTTAAGCACTGTCAATCTCTCCCTGAACCTGGAACAGGATAATCTACCCCATCTCTACACTTATATTGCATTTGTCACTCAAACTCCTCTGGGCAAAATACGGAATACTAAAACAAGATACCACACACCATTTTTTCAGACACCTCAAGCACTCTTCCCAGATATCCTTATGGTGTGTAAGGTACACTGCTGCCAGCAGCTACTCAAGATACGCAACACATTTAACAGGTAGGAGAGAAACTGAAAGCAGCTGGAGGCAAAGCTGAGGCAGTTATGTACCTGCAGATTCTCACACTATTTTGACGATCTCTTATACTAACAAAGAAACTACACTTCCAGTCTGATTTCAGAACATAAACCAAAAGTAGTTTACCTCCCTAAAAAGAAGTTTAAGATATTGTGGATTTTGTAGTCCTCTAGCATTATTCTTTCAGCCATCTATAAGACAGCAGAGTAACACAAGACAAAAAGAAATCAACCCTTTCCTAGCTTGTTAAAGACACTAATTCCTTGTGTTAAGAAGCAGCCCAAAGGAAAAGGTTTTGCAAAATCTCCATGATTAAGCATTTGCAGGTAAGAGGTATCAAATTAATATTTGTATGTATAATTATACACACAATTTAAGACAGCAGCCTATAATCTCTGTCTTTAATATCAACACAAACCCCGGAATTTCTTCAGCATCTATTCCAAAGAACTATTTCCTGCTGATTTATTCAGTTCTTTACTTATAAGATTTAAGTGACAGAGCTTCTCCCTTTCAAACACTGTATTTCCAGTTTATCAATCGTTAATATAATTTTCTATTTACTCTTCCTGATTTTAGTTTATTTATCTGGCTACTTGCATTAGTACAGACATATTATGTCAGTAAGGCACACAAAAATCACACCATATACTAATGTAACTGCACCAGACAATTCTTTCATCTTAAAATGTGGGTCTCAGCCAGGAAATCATGCACATGAAAGCAGTAGAAAGATA